TCCTGTGAGACTGGGAGTTTCTCCCACTGCTGCTACCCCCATAGATTTTTACAGCCAGAGGTTTTGAGGCTTTATTTCCCCATGCTGAAACTTGGGGTTGCACGGTCTGTGTTGCTTCCCAGTGTTCCTCCCAGTTTATCCACATACACATGTGGAACCACCCAGTCAACCAGACACCACCTTGCCCACCTGGTCTGCCAGCCACTGCCTTGCTGGGTGTCCTCTCAGCCCCAGCTGCCCATCTTGGTCCCTCCTACCAGTATGGATGAATGTTTCTTCTTTAATTCCTTGGTTATTGGACTTCCACACAGTTTTATTTTCTGGCAGCTGTGGCTGTTTTTTGTTTTTAAATTTGTTATTGTCCTGCTTTTTGTTGTGAATGGAAGCAAAGCATATCTACCTATACCTCTATCTTGGTCAGAAGTCTATAGTCCTATAGTCTTTATGTGATTATCATTGCCCCAATTTTCTGCTTGCATCCAAACTTATCTTCAGTACAAATGAGTCAGCAAAGGTCATTTTTGGATACAGATTGTATATCTATGAAAGACTTGCCTCATTTTCTCCACCACTCACTGTTTCATCTCTACCTCACAAATCTACATCATACAATTACTGCCTTCTAAGATCATGCTTTCTGAAGGTCAAAATGAATGAGCTTGGTCTTCAGACAAGGAATTAATCCCAGAGGCACAACAATGTAAGAAGAGCTAAAATGTTAAGATCACTCTGTAAACCAAGAATTAGCCCCAATTCACCTTGATTAGTCAGGCTGAGTATAGATCTCTCAGGGGGTGTGCACAATAGCTGATCAAGCAATAACATTTTGCTCATAGTAAGGCCAGAGATGAAAATGCCTGACTCATGTGGATAAGGCCAGACTCAGCAGGAAGAAAAAAAAAAAGGAAAACAAAAAGAAAGGAAAAAGAAAACCACCTGCCACTTTAGATATAAACTGACTCTTTATTGTGGGGTAGTAATTCTTGGTGTTACTTGCTATAATGCTTTATTTGGCCAACATTTTAGCAATTATTTCAAGAGTCTGAAAGTATTCTGAAGATCACTTCTGGTTATTAAACCACCCTCCCTGGCAGGGTAATATAAAAGCCACTATTTAGTGCACACCGAAATCTATATCTCTAATGGTCTAAAAGACATTTTAAATACAAGTTTTTAAAAAGTGTTCATGAAGAAAACTGCCATCTCAAGTAATGTGAGTGTTCCAATACAAATTTAGGGCAGAGTATCACATTTAATATCTTTTCCCCATAGAGGATGGAAAATGGACTAACAATATTTGTCAAGTAATAACAAGCACAAACTGGCTCATTTTAATTGTCCACTAAATACTCCTTGAATAGTTCATGTTGTTTTGCTTTTTATGTTTACCAAACACATTGCTTTATAAAAAGAAATAGCCAAAACTTTTTTTTTAATATTTAAAACCTTTTTTTATTGTTGTTCAAGTACAGTTGTCTTTAAAAAATGGGCAAAGGACCTGGACACTTCCCCAAAGAGGACATACAGCGGGCCCAGAGGCATATGAATGGATGCCCAGCATCACTAGCCATCAGAGAGATGCAAATTAAAACCACAATGATATACCATTCATACTGGTCATAATAGCCATCATAAACAAATAAATAAGCAACAAGTGCTTGTTGCAAATAAGCAACAAGGTGAGGTTGTGGAGAAAAGGGATCTCTAGTACACTGTTGGTGGGAATGCATACTGGTGCAGCCACGTGGAAAATAAAATGTTTTAAGCACCTATTAGATTCTCCCACTATGATGAATAATTTAAATTTGCCTCTTATACTAAAAGAGCATTAAACTGTAATAGTTTCTTATCAATAGTTGAGTATCCCTACAAGTCTACAGATCTGCCAAATTAAAATAAACTTATAAACATAGTACTCCCAAATCAAATGTAATTTCTTTACACTGAAATATAGAACTTGACTGTTAATGTGTAAATGGTCATAGTGGAAGAGATGAAGTTAACAGAAGCTGGGGTCCTGACCCATTTAGTTTGTCCAGAGACAGGTTTCAATAGAATACTGGATGGAGAAAAGGAACATGGATTTGAAGGATGGACAGTTATTGCCCAGCAAACTTTAAGCTGAGAAGGAGGTGAAAGTACTTTAGAACTGTGTTGCTTGGAGTCAAGAAATCCAGATACCAAAAAGCAGGTAGGAGAGAAGCAGCAGAGGACTTTGAATTGGTGAGACCAGGCACATGGCAAGTAAGGATTATTATCTAAGCTCTCTAAGCCAAAGAGCATTGCCACCTGAAATATTCAGATCATTTACATCAGGTAACACAGTGTCATTTTGAAGTGTTAATGAAATAAGTTTTGTTTCTTCTAATTGTCACTTAATGTCTTCTACAAGCAATACCTAAGTAGGAACAGTAGTGGCATACTAATATAACTTATGATATATACCCCCTGGGTTCTGAGAAGGGCACTGAGTTAATAAGGATATAACACATGTCACTTTTTGTTGCTATTTGGGTTGGGATGGGGGATGATTTGTCTGGTTTCTTGTATATATTGAGAGAGGGGTGAATTATGGCAGTTGAGAGGTAGCTCCAGTGCATACCTGGCCAGAGTATGGCATCTGGCAGTTACCTAATCTTTCCAGATGGTTTCCACAATTGTCAAACCAGGAAATAACAGCATTTACCTCACAGGTTTATTGTGAGGGTTAAATGAGTTAGTGCATGTGGAGTGTTTAGAATAATGTCCAGTACATTTACAAATACCTATCAGTGTCATCACCCCCTTCAACCAAGAGTGGGGTTACATACCACCCATGGTCCCCACCCACCAAGTTGATAGCAATTCATGAATCCACAGTAACAATGGCTGATTGATGGCCTGTTGAAGGTGGTCCATGGACTATATTACATTTCTACTCAAATGTAGGGCCCTCTCATGTATTTACAATACTAGCAGCAGCAGATCAGCAATGCATATTGACTAAAGCTGGGTTTCAGAACCACCTCTTCCTAGGAAGTGCCAGAATCTCTGTAAACATTTTTCTTTATTAATTCTACCATCAAATCCATTCATGATTGAAAATATATACCAATTTTGATCACATGTAATGAACTCAGGTATAGGACAGGAGACTCTGTCCATACAGGGTCTCCATAGGTGGACATGCTGGACACAGACCTTCAGATACAGGATCTGTTATAAAGAGTCAGTTCACATGATTATGGAGGCTAAGAAGTCCCAAGATTTCTAATCTGCAAGCTAGAGACTCAGGAATGCCAATGGTGTGGTCCCTGTCAGGATGCCAGCAGGATCAAGACCCAAAAAGGGCTGATGATTCCATTTGAGTCCTGAGGCAGATAAAAACAATGCCCCAGCTCAGCAGTCAGACAGGAGGAGTTCCCCCTAACCCAAGGGAGGTTTCTTGTTCTTTTCAGGCCTTTAACAGATTGGATGAGGCCTGCCTGCATTGGGGAGAGCAACCTGCTTTACTCAGTCTACTAAATCAAATGTTAATCTCATCCATAAATACCCTCACAGACAAACCCAGAATAATGTTCAACCAAATATCAGGCACCTGAAACCCAGTCAACTTCACATATGAAATTAATCATCAAAGGCTTCATTCTCTTCAGCATGTGTGGACATATAAGTGGATGCTGTAGCATACAGACTTCACAGGGCCTAAGTAGGTAGAACCAGGGTAATTAATCATCCTAGTTTGCCTAGGGCTGAGAAGGTTCCTGGAATACTTGACTCTCACTCCTGGGTAAACCAGATAAATTAGTCAACCTAGGTAGAATCCTGTCAGCAGCTAACACCTGTACTCCACTCCTTTCCTAATCATCTACCTATCTAACTCATAAATGTCTACCTTAACACTTAACCTCTGACCCCAGTCCTCTGTAAGGAAATTAGTCCCTTTCAAGGAAAAACTTTAGTGTAAGACAGTGATGAGTGCCCTGTGGACTTTGGATCAAAAGCTACACTTCTAGCTAGATTCACTTTCTAAGAGCTGCTTTACAACATGGCAGCAGGCTTCCCACAGTGGAAGGAAACTAAGTTCCATTACCTGAGGGGAGGAGTATAAAGAATCTGTGGTCATAGCCCATAGCCTTAAAACCACCACAATGGCAAAAGCAAATCTGAGACATTTCTTAAAACTGTGTCTAGCCATTTGAAAGTTGAATGAGTGAAAATTCCACATGTTCTCACCAGAAGCAGATTCTCTAAGTCATTCGACTATGATCTAACTAGCCTTTTATGCTTGATGGAAACTGGACCTTTTTGCTGCCATAATTCAATTAGAACTTAAAGACACCTTGGAAGCATTGGAAATCTCCAGAAATACCACTCATATGAGTTCTGCATATGAAACAAAAATTATAATTGCACAGTCATATTTGGGTATGGTACAATTCTTCTGCCATTATCCTATATGCTATGAGGTCAGGTAATGATTCAAAAAGACAGTGAAAAAGAAAGGACCCAAAAATCTCAACAATCCACTGAACCCAGCCACCACCCACAAGTCAGGGAGAGGTAATTGTGTGCTTTTCTGTTTCTATACATGCCTTTAATTTCTTATTTTCTCATTCTAATCTATCTCACATAAAATTGAGTTCATGAGAACAATAGGGGAGAAAAAAGGGAGAGAACAAAGGATAATCTTTATTTTGATCTCTGGGCTCAAAATTCCAGTAAAGATTTTTCACAGAGAAGTTAGGATGAAGGTTCAGTAAACTGTTGTAGTTACATTATTACACCGTGATATTTCATTGAAGCAATAGAGCTTTCCTAAAGTTAACATGGCTTTCTTTTATTTGTAGTCTATTTTGCAAGTGAAATCTCTATATATTTTTTCTTAGGTGACAGTGTGGTTTATACCTCAGATTTCTTACAAACACTACAAAGAAAAAAAGTTTCTGAATTTCTGAATAATCAGTCAAGTTTTCTGTCAAGTCCAAGTGACATTACTGTCTTTACCACAAGCAGGAAAAATGAAGCACATAATTAATCTATATGAAAACATCAATGATACAGCAAGAAATAATTCAGACTGTCCTCATGTGGTTTTGCCTGAAGAGATTTTTTTTACAATATCCATCATTGGGCTTCTGGAAAATCTGATCGTCCTTCTGGCTGTGATCAAAAATAAGAATCTCCAGGCTCCCATGTACTTTTTTATTTGCAGTTTGGCCATTTCTGATATGTTGGGCAGCCTGTATAAGATTTTGGAAAATATCCTGATCATGTTCAGAAACACGGGTTATCTCAAGCCTCATGGAGATTTTGAAACCACAGCAGATGACATCCTTGATTCTCTGTTCATCCTTTCCCTACTTGGTTCCATTTTCAGCCTGTCTGTGATCGCTGCCGACCGCTATGTTACAATCTTCCATGCTCTGCAGTACCACAGCATTGTAACCATGCGACGTGCCATTGTCGTCCTGATGGTCATCTGGATATGTTGCACATGCAGTGGCATCACCATGGTAATCTTCTCCCATCACATCCCCACAGTGATCACCTTTACATTGTTGTTCCCTCTGATATTGGTCTTTATCCTGTGCCTTTATATGCACATGTTCTTACTGGCCCGTTCTCATGTCAGGAAGATCACAACAATTTCCAGAGCCAACATGAAAGGGGCTGTCACACTGACCATCCTACTAGGGGTCTTCATTTTCTGTTGGGCCCCCTTTATCCTTCATGTCCTCTTGATGACATTCTGCCCAAATAACCCTTACTGTGTCTGCTACATGTCCCTCTTCCAGGTGAATGGCATGCTGATCATGTGCAATGCGGTCATTGACCCTTTTATATATGCATTCCGAAGCCCAGAGCTTAGGGAAGCATTCAAAAAGATGATCTTCTGCAGCAGGTACTAATATAATTATCAGTCCCTGATTTTAGGAACCATGGTGATATACTGTTGAGTGAAAGAATAACATGACATATGAACAAATACTAATGCTCCCAACTGTGCTTTCATTCCCTAGTGTGTAAGAGGATAATTTCATTTACCAGTATTTGTAATAGTTTGGCTCTAGGTGAACAGTCTTGCTGTAATACAACTTCCATAACTAGAGAGATAAAATAATGTACTAAAAAGAAGGACAGAATACAAAGCACATGCAGCAATACAAATTTGAGAGCCTTAGGCTAAGGGAAAAACTTGTTCTCATACAGATATTTTGCAAACCTATTACTGAGATAACCCTTTCAGGCTGAAGGCCACTATAACTGATTTCTGGAAGTTAAAGTACTAGGACAAGTACTCAGGCCAGAAACCATAGGTCTTTGCAAGCCAAAGGTGCCAATAAATTGCTGCAGCTGAATATGCCTGTTGCACACCACCATACAGAATTTCTTCCCTCCCTTCCTCCTACCTGTCTGTTTGATTATATCTTAAATCTTTTTGGAAGCAGGAAGGGTATAAATTACAAATGTCAAATTACCAGCTTTAAGTTTTCAAAAATGAATGATATTGGTCTTTATTGGTCTTTATTCTGATATTGGTCTTTATTCTGATATTGGTCTTTATCCTGTGCCTTTATATGCACATGTTCTTACTGGACCGTTCTCATGTCAGGAAGATCACAACAATTTCCAGAGCCAACATGAAAGGGGCCTTCTCTGTTTGAATTCTTTGCTCACTCAGTATCTCACTGGCTTTAAAATCTTTTCCTGGTTAAAACTCTTCATGCTTCAGAAGCATAAATTTCAAAAGAGGAAATAAAAATTTAATCCATTTTGGGTCCCATGTGGGAATAAAGGCCAGAGGGAAATTGTGACATTGTGACCATCTGAAGAGAGTATAACCAATCTTTGTCAACTTGTCCAAATGTAGAAGTGAGGAAAAGAGAGGCTCCAATATGTATTTTGTGGAGTAAAGAGAGAAAGAAAAAGGGTGAGAGAGGAGAGAGGGAGAGGGAGAAGGGGAGAGAGAGGGGGGGGGAGAGAGAGAGAGAGAGAGAGAGAGAATATGAGAATGAATAAGCATGCTTTTGGACTATGGGAAAAACCAAGACCAAATCAATACGTCAAGAACAGTGCTATTATTGAGACCCAAGCCAGATATTGATGAAAAAACACTTTATCCCCATCCACAGATGAGTCCGAGAAGCAGATCAAGTCACTCCAAAATTTTACCCTACTATCAGATATAGGACAGATGCCAGATATTGAAAAGTGGCATCACTGGAAATAAAAGAAGCACAGTTTATAAATTCATCCATTGTTAATAGCTAAAAATAAAGCCTAAAGAAGAAGCAGCTTCTGACTGTAGTCCTAGCTAATTTGGAGAGTGACTTAAAGGGTTGAGTTATGAAACAGAGAAGGGAAAGAAGCCAGATCTTCACATGCATGGGGCCTGGTTGCTCAGGATCCAATGAGAGTGATGGTGTGTTCTGGAAGAGGCAACACTTTACCCTCAGTAGAATTTTTCCTGAGCTGCTCAGCAAAAGCCAGCCAAAAATAGTACTGCTGTTCTAGTGATAGAGTTGATATTAGATGTGGGGAAGAATAGGATCTTAAGAAGCAGAGCAGAAGGCATGGAGTTAAAGGGAAGACAGCTGGGCATATTTTCAGTTGGCTTCTATCACATTTTGGAGATGGAACCTAAAGTTTATTTTTTGTTCTCTCTTCTGTAATAATCCTTTGGTTCTGCTATCTCACCAAATGAGATATATTATTCTAATGTACATTAACTCAAATTTATTTTTTTCATTGAAAACTTAAGTTACTTACAAAAATTTTATTTTACAAAATTCCAATCCTTTATGACATTATTTCAAAGCAATCTTTACTCTTCAGAAATTGAGAGTTAAAGCTTATAAGAACTTAGTGGAAATCTTAATATAAGGGTTTTTTTCTTTTTTCTTTTCTTTTATCTTTTTTTTTTTGCATTTTTTAATTGTTGTTCAAAGAACAAACGGACAATAACCAGAAGGTGGCAGGGAGAGGATAACAGGGGAAAGAATGGGAAAAGTTGTCAAAGAACATGTATAAAGGACCCATGGACAAAGCCAAAGAGGGAAGGATTAAGGGTAGGAGGTAGGGATGGGTGGGGCAGGGGAAAGTGGTAGTGAGAATATGGGGACAACTGTACTCAAATTCATTAATATACAAAATACTGTATATAAGTTTAATTTCCATGAAATCTAAAGCATGTCCTTATAAATGATTTTTACATGTTATTTCTACCTTTAGATGAGGAGAGATAAAAAATGGTATAGGAAACAGAGAACTCAAAAAACTTATATGTACAACCCATGGACATGAACTAATGGCGGGTAATGCTAGAGGGTTGGGGGCAGGGTGGAGGGGTAATAAAGGGGGGGGAAATTGGGAAAACTGTAATAGTATAATCAATAAAAATACTTAAAATAAAATTAAAAGAAAAAAATACACAGCATATTTTTCTGTAATTAAACTGAGTATTCTCAGTAAATTGTAAGGTTACAATTTATCTTTGTTGTTACAATTGTCTTTGTTGTTCTGCTGTTATATGATACTATAGAGGTTGGTAGTACAATTTAACCCCTTTTATAAATGGTCCCACACTGCTGCTCTGTCATTGTTAATAGTTTTGCTACCACTCTCAAGCTCTCAGCTGTCATATCTGAATGTTGTCATAGGAAATTACCTAGATGTTCCTCTCCTCACTGCCTTCAATTTCTTCTGTTTAATCTAAGATATAAACCAAGAAGTTCACTCTAATAGTGTATAAAGCAAGAACAGACTGAGTGCTAACTCAGAGACATTTTCAATTCTAGGTTCTCAGCTATATTCAAATCAGACCAGAGTCTTTAATATTCAGAATTACTGAAGAAAATATGGTTTCCTACATTTGCCTTCATATGTAACTCAAAAACAGTGTCAAAGTGCATTGATTTGAATGAAGAAGACCAACAAGACTCAGATTTTCCCCATGATTACTACTTTAATTCTTTTATCAAAATATCACATTTTGGCCCTGGCTGGTGTAGCTCAGTGGATTGAGCTTGGGCTGTGAACCAAAGTGTTGCAGGTTCAATTCCCAGTCAGGGCACATGCCTGGGTTGCAGGCCATGACCCCCAGCAACCGCACATTGATGTTTCTCTCTCTCTCTCTTTTTTCCCCCCTTCACTCTCTAAAAATAAATAAATAAATCTTTTTTAAAAATATCACATTTTAAAATTGGTTTGGTAATGCCATAAACACATGTTCAGTTTGGTTGATGACCTAGCTTTAGATTACATAGCTGAGAATGTTAGTAAATATAAAGTATTGTAGCTGACTTGATACACTCTTTAATACAGGAATATACTACTTCTGTGCCCTCTCTAATAAAAAGGAAGAGAAGTTTCCTCTTTCTGTCTCTCATCTCCCCATTGCTATAGTATGAATGTTTGTTTTTCCCTGAATTCACACATGTTGAAATCTTACTCCTGAAAGGTTGTAGAATTAGAAGGTGGGGCCATTGGGAGGTACTTAGTTCATAATGGTTGAACCCTCATGAATGGGATTTGTGTCCTCATAAAAGAGGCTACAGAGAGATCCCTCACCCCTTCTGCCATATGAGCACACAGTGAGAAGGCACCAGCTATGAACCAGGAGGATGGCCCTTGTCCCACCATGCTGGAACCCCTTCTTCTAGCCACCAAAATTGTTAGAAATAAATTTCTGATTTTCATAAGCCACCCAGTCTGTGGTATTTTTGTTATAGTAGCTGACCATACTAAGACACTCATATACAAGGTCTGTCCTGTCTGGAAAAACTCCAACCATTGTTAATATACAAGGTCTGTCTGGAAAAACTCCAGCCATTGCTTATATAATGAGAACAGTTTATGCAACATCAATGTAACCTGACAGTCAAGTGGACTGGAATGCATATGCACAAACAATGATGACTTCACCATACTAGTCATTAGGGATGGTAGACACCACTGAGTGAGCATGTGTACTGTGTGACCCTCGTGATTAAAAATGAGCAAGTAGAGCAATGACTCTGCATTAAACTTTGTGTTAAGCTTGAACATTCCTCTACAGAAACTGTTTGGATGATTCAGAATGCCACAACTATGGGCAACTGGTGATTGGCACCTTCATCATGACAATATACCTGCTTCTGCATCATGTCTCATGCAGTTTTTGGCAAAACATCAAATCACCCAGGTGACTCAGCCCCTCTACAGCCCAGATTTGGTGCCCTGAGACTTCTGGCTTTTTCCAAAACTGAAATCACCTTTGAAAGGGAAGAGATTTCAGACCATCAGTGAGAGTCAGGAAAATATGACGGGACAGCTGGTGGGTGAACTGTATGAGGTCACAAGGTGCCTACTTGGAAGGGAACTTAGGCATCATTGTCCTATGGACTACATTTCTTGTATCTTGAATATTTTTCAATAAATGTCTCTATTTTTCATATTATATGGCTGGATGCCTTCTGAACAGACCTCTTATTCATGGATAGACATGAATAATTCAGTAAACAACCCACTCCTTCAACTGCACATTCACTGGGCTGAAGTTGGAAATAGGCTGAGAGAGCAGTCAAGGAGTATGCCCAGACCATTTGATTAAGACCTACTGAGAAACATAAGCAAATCAGTAATAAATCATGAAAAGTTGTCAGAGTTAATGTTTCCTGGACTCTGAGGACATCCAGTAATGATAACATAACAATAGTACTTATCTATTACTGAATGATTATTATAACCTTTGTGTACATTAATTCTCACAACAACCTTAAGACTAGGTACTATTACTATCCTCATTTCTTAGATGAATAAGCTAAGGTTCAGTGATAATGAGTTACTATCTGTGGCAGTAGACTCTAAGGTAGTCCTTGTGATCCCTGCCTCCTGGTGTTTCACGTCTTAGTGTTACACTTGCCCCTTTAGTGTGGGCAAACTGTGACTGGTTTCTAACTCATTAAATACGATGGGATATCACGCTCATGACTATATTACATTATACAAAATACCATCTTGCTAACAGACTTCTTAGACTCTGCTTACTGACTTAATAAAGTTAGCAGACATTGTGGGAAACCCATGTACAAAGGAGCAACAGGTAGCATCCTGTTCTTATGCAAACAACAGAATCTCTCAGCCATGATGGCTGCTGATAGCCATACCAGTCTGGAAGCAGACCCTCAGCATCAGATTAGAGTGCAATCCAGCCCACACCTTGATTGAAGCCTTCCAATATCTTGAGCAGAGGATCCAGCTAAGCTATGCCCACTTATGAGCCATAAAAACTGTGAGACAACATATGTGTATTGTTTTAAGTCTCTAAGTTTGTGGAAATTTGTTATGCATCCATGGAAAACTAATACACTTACCCAAGTCAAGTCAGTGAGTGACAGAGCTAGGAGTAAACTTTAGGCTGCAGTGTGGCCCCAAAGTCCACTCTCTGCGATGTTATGATATTCCACAGGCGCAAAAAGTCTCTGTGCTAACA